TGGTTTTAAATTGTAAAAGCATCTTGTGCACTGAGTGGGTCCTTGAAGAATTTCAAGCAGCAAACACATTTCAACAGGTTAAGTCTGTTGCACGTTCTAATTAATCTCAACTTTAAGCCCGCTGCTGCTGTAAAATGTTTGGATGCCGCAGTCAGCAGGGACGGAAATAAATAAGAAATGCACTCAGGTACTAAATCGCTTTTTGCCCCAGAGCTCACCTTTTTTGCATTTTTATGATTAGAATGATTTGTTGTTCTAAAAAAAAAAAAAAACTGCTTCCCAAATGTATGGAAAATAAGGTCAAAAAGCCTTTTTGGTTGTCTGAATGCACAACAGAGGCAGACAAAGAGAGAATCAGACGCTGGGAGTGAGAATGTTTTGTCAAAAACGGAGACAGAGAGCTTGATAAAGTCGGAAAGCCCCAAATAGAAAAAAAAAAAGGATGAAAGAGGAGGGCAAGTGTCTGACGAAATCTGTATTGACGCAGAGGGACAGGCATAAAAATAGGTAGAGGCGTGGAGAAGAAGAGGAGAGAAAAGATGAGAAGAGGGTAAAGACAGAGAGGAGGCCCTGTCCGCATCCTAAGAAGATTAGAGAGGGAAAGACGACGTGATGCTAAAGAGAGAAAAAGGCAGAAGCTCCTCAGTCACACGCCGGCGCTCTCCGGGTGGATAACGTTTTCAGTTAATATTCCACAAGTAATAGCTTTAAAAGGACAATCAAATTAAATGCTGAAGCTCAATAACGGCATGCCTCCCTTCCTTTCTCCTCAAAGCATCCTTGATGTCAGACTCGGTTAGCGCCCGCCCAACATGATTAAGGAGTGACATGACCGTGCATCAGCTCGCTCTCTGGAATCAGCTGGGCGTGAGTCAGCCGCCTGCTGCTTCGCTCTCCGGGGACGGAGAAGGTTCGGGGTCAGTATGACAAAGAAGCTGAACTCAAACCGGCGCTGAGTCACTTCACATGCCGGCGCGGTTGCTGCTGATACTGTTAGCTTTGATAGGTTGAAGGTGAGAAGTCCGTAGGGCTGAGAGGAGTGCTGTTTTGCATGTAATGAAGGAGTTGTGGAGGAAGCTGTGTTTCACCTGAGCTGCCTTGCATTCTCGCCTCTGAGCTATGAAGTGCTGGTTGAGGCGGTTCAAAGCGGATGCTGTGCACCGGCATAGTTTCTGTCCTTTGTCTCCGCTGTCTTGTGTTTGTTCGAGTCCCAAACAAGCCTCCCCTGCTTTTTTGAATATCTGTATTCCTTTTCTTTCCTCGTCCTCCAAAACCGTCCTTCTTCTCTGCGAGTTCGCACCGAGCCTCTGTTCTTGGCTCTCGCTAACGCAGAACCTCGGGGCAGGTTGTTTAGCGGCGCTGTGGGAGTACAACACACACACACACACACACACACACACACACACTCCCACATTCATGCATGCAGAGGCCTGATTGATTTTTCATTGCTTGTCTTAGTGTAATATGTCCCAAAGTGTTTGCGGTTGTTTTTTTTTGCTGGGAGGGCAGAATTGTCCATCATTTGTCGCGAATGGAAAAAAAAAACACTGAGAATAAATAGAAGGGAAAGATGCGACGGCTGAGAAAATTGAAATTATACCGAGGGAGATGAGTTACAGAAAGAAAGAAAAAAAAACACTGTAACCCAAAGGGGATAAGACCTTTATTTCAAAGAAGGATTGGTGGTTAGATGAGGTAACTAGGAAGAGAAGGCAGACAGACTTTATAAAAAAAAAAAAAAAAAGTGTCTTTGAGTGCATTGTTCTGATATTATTTCTACCCATTTCACTGTTACCCCAGAGAGAAGCGCAGAAGCGATAGATAGCCGAGACGGAGGAGAGCAGCGAGCGGGATGGAGAGACATAAAGATTATTGGATAGTACAGCATTTATCTGCGAGTGTGTATTTGTGCAGAAGAAAGAGACGTACAGGAAGAAAAAAAAGAAGAATAACAAAGATGTTTCATATTCCCTGGATGAAAAGCGTACAGTACGCATGTGTGTGTGCAGCAGAGGGAATGTGCAGCTCCTTTAAAGTGCACCCCAGATTTACAGAATATCCCCGAGCTGCATAAAAATCACTTCACACCGATTTAATTTTGGTTATTGGGGTTTTTATCTTTTGTCCTTAATCCAGTTCGACGAGAAATTAGGTGCGTCTGGGTGCAGGGCAGGTTCACCCAGAGGTTACCCTCTGAACGGAGGTGTTACACAACCGCTCTCTCCACTTTGTTAATATTTCAACAAAAACAACACACAAACACAAAAATGCTTGCCCTGCGAATCGGATGAATCTTTAATGCAAACAAGCTTCGGCGCTGTTAAGTCAAAATCTGCCCCGGCTTGGATTAATAAACACCAATCTGTGTTTGGTTTCGTGCCGCACACAGACAGAACCACACGTCACGCTCGCGGAGAACATAAGTTTTGTGAGGGCAATTTCCATAAGAACAAAATACTTTAAGCTCATCCTGAACAGGGAGCAAATACAAAAAGGAAGACAAAAAAAATAAAGACTTAAGAGGATAAAGTACAGAACTAAAGGAACATAAGCTGACAGCTTAAGATATTAAAGAGGTGAAAAGCTGTGAAAGAGTTTTAAACTACATTATAGTGATTATGATGCACACACACACACACACACACACACACACACACACGCGCGCTCCACTATATGCACAATATGCATAGCATATGGCTCCTTTTTGGTTTTATTCACATTTGCATAGTGTCAAATTTGCACAATCTTCTGGTGTTGCCTCTTACAGAAGGCCTGTACGGTGCAGATCTGTGGTTCAGGTGTGAACCCGGGCGGCGGAGCAGCCTGCAGGGTGACAAGGTGGCTCTGGAAGATGAGAGGGAAGCAGCAAAGATAAAGAGAGAGGCTGAGGGCAAGTAGCACGGAGCCAGACTGTATATAAAACACATTGTTAACTCTGCTCATAAAGCAGTAACATAAGCTTTAATGGTATTGGCTCCGTTCTGAAGTTATTTTTTTAGTGCGGCATGATTCATCATTTTCAATAAACATAAAGAAAAAGGAGCCGTTGGCAGACTCGGGCAATAATGTGCTTCGTCATGAATCTCTGTCATGTGACTCATTCAATCAAATAGCAAAAAAATAAAAAAAAATATGCCGGTTGCAAAAGTACTTCTCATCTTCATTTCCATTGATGAATTGCTCAGCGGCAGAGTGGCAGCTGTGTGATCTCTCAGCGCTCTGATGTGCTGCATACATGCTGTGAATGAGTCAGTGGCTCTGAATGAGTCAGCTATGCATGTACTGAGATGTGCAATGTGAATATCTTTATTTGAGTGGTGCTGGTGTCTGGAAAGCAAATTGTGGCAAAAAAAAATCAGGGATATACAAGTTTTTCCTTATTCTGCTCTGTTTAGTGGACTCGTGAGAACTTTTCTGTTGAACGGACGCAAAGACACGGAGCCAGACATTCGTATCGTGTGATATTACACGACATTATCAAGACGATAGATGGCGTAAGACTTTGTTTGTGCGAATACGCAACAATTTTTCCTCTCCAAAAATATTTAGAAATTCCGTGTAACTAAATCCTATAAGACAGGGGTGTCGAACTCCGGTCCTCGAGGGCCGCAATCCTGCAAGTTTTAGATGCTTCCTTCTTCCAACACACCTGATTCAAATGATCAGCTCATCATCAAGCTCTGCAGAAGCCTGATAACGATCCTGATCATGTCAAGGAGTTCGAGACCCCTGCTATAAGACAATATGTCAGTAGAGAGGAATAAAAGCAAATAAATAAATAAATCTTCTGATACGACCATCTAAATAAGTTAGATTCATGCATATTATTTGCACCTTTATTTAAAGAGTTTAACCGCCTGTCAAGTTTCTTAAGCCACACAGAAGATCATTAAAGTAATATGCATTTGTCTTGTCACAACGTTAGCTCCTTAGCATGAATGTGACAGAAAGTATAAAAGCAACTTACTGAAAATTTGTCTTCGTGCATGCTGCTGTATGTGAGTCCCTCCCTGCACTTAGCCTGAGAGTGACAAAGCAAAAGGCGAGTCCAGCATCCAGCCGGTGTCCTGAAAGTCCAAAGATGTCACTTCCCTCATTTCCTGTAAATGCACTTGTTTCATTTCAGCTCAGTGTAGGAGCCTCTGCTGCTGTTTGATGCTCAAAGATTCCTCAAGTTGACAACAACACTCAGCCTCTCTAGTCGTAAATGAAACTGCGACCAGTTTTGTTTGCTCTGAGATGCTGCTGGTGTTGCTGCAGCCGCTGGTTCTGAATGTTGCACACAGAACCTTTGATGCATCATCTATTCCAGCACAAAAACCAAACTCACAAGAGAAGTTTGACACTTGTTATAAGTGTAGTGGTCTGACTCACGCGGGTTAAAGCCTGCAATCAAAATCCATTCCGCTGTGTGTAACAACAACAATCACGTCCGGGTGAGCAGCCTTGGAAATCTGAAGTTTGTGCTGAGGATTTGGATTATGCAATAAGGCGGCCCTGCTGGTTATTTTTTTGGGGGTGAATTAGCCAATTTAACAGCAATGCTTGCTCCTCCTGCATGCAAATGTTGATGCTCCCTCTTCACTATTTCACAGGAACACCGTTGCTGCATCCGCTGATTAGTGTTTTTTCCTCCTACGGCTCAATGGTTCTGTTCTGCAGAACGGTCTGGCCGTGCAGGACTGTACAAAACAGATGCTCCAATAGAGGAAACAACAACTGTCCTGGAATGATTGTTTTCTGTTTGCTGAATGTGAGTGAAGCTGCTTTAAGTTTAGACACGTTTAATAAGCAGTTGTGTTGCTTTGTTTTGTTACCGACACATTATCACAGCAGCACAGATCACAGGCCGCTGCTGGAGCTGCTTCGGTGAGGTTGGATTTATCCACCATTGATCGCACCGCTGCAGCACTGTGCATAGTTTGTGTGTAGTTTGTGTGTCGCTGTGCATTTCCCCCCCTCAGCCACGCAACGCTCCTTAACCCCAGCTGTGTTAATACGTGGTTCGAGAGGATTAGCATCATGGTGATCCTGCTCAACTGTGTGACACTGGGCATGTACCAGCCCTGCGAGAACATCGACTGCACCTCGGACCGCTGCCAGATACTGCAGGTGAGTCGGGTGTGTGTGTGTGTGAGCGAAGGAAGCTGCATTTCATCACAAAGCAATCAATTATTTGAAATAAAATCACTACTCTTGTTGTCACTGATGCAAACGACAGCTAGAGTTTTTTATTTTTTCCCCTCTTTTATATTTTTCTCCTGCCTTTTCCGAGCAGGGAATTGGGACTCGGTTAGTTTTAATACAGTCGCGCAGAGCCACATGAGATTTTAGTCGCGTCGTGATGAGAATATACTGGCAGAGAGAAATAACCAACAGTTGAAACTGTGTGCAAAACGCCACAGGTAACAAAGCCACAGGTTCTAATTTTAATTCTGCTGCAATTTATTAGTTAAATTAAGACCATAAAGATTAAACTTTAAAGCTGGTTTACTATTATCCTGCTCCAGACGTGATCAGCCCCACCTTGTTCTGTCATTTAAAAGCTTTTTTTCCCCCCTCATATCTGATCCTGTGACAGATTTACATACAGCCTGATGTTAATTCTTATAATACAGAGCACGGTCTCAGTATTGTACATTTCAAATCGCCCAGTGTTTTCGGTTTTGTGTCCTGTAAGCTGCGCTGGGCTAATGTAGGTAATGTGTTCCTGAGTGGGTGATTTGCCAGCTGGCTGAGGACTCGGTGTGTACCTCTGGGATTGTAATTGCTTGTCATTGAAGTAAATTTGGCAGGCTCAATTTCAGGTGTGACAAGGACGACCTAATTCTGCCTCGCACGCTTTCGGTTGCCGGTTTTTAACGTCCGCTGACACCGAAAAGCTTTCCGCGGTCACCTGCATGCGACGGTTTCTGTCCGTCTGTTGTTGTGTTGACTGATTGCGGTGCCGCGTCCTACCTGCCTACGGCACATTAGCGTGGATTATAATATCAAATTAAAGCCCCGCAAACCAAACGGTAATAGGTTTACTTATCTCGTTGGATTTTCTGTCTTAAAACTGCGCATCTTTCTGCTTCTCTTTTCCAATCCTCCACCTCTAATGCCCATCTTTACTCCTCCCTGTGTTCCCATTCCCCTCATCCCACACTCTCTCTCCCTTCCTCCATCTTTCGTCTCTCTAACAAGCATATTGTCTCCCCAGGTAGTGTGAGGGGTGCTGTTCAGGTGGTTGCTAATGGTAACAGGAGGGATTTTGCTGACAGGGCTTAGATAGTTAGAGTGGCCCTCACATGCTTCTGCAGCCCTGTGTGAATAGACAGCATCCTGGAGGATAGGAACACCGGCAAAACAATGCATGCATATATATCGTATGTTGGATGTGTAGCGAGGCGGCGCTCTGGACCTCAGTGCTTGAAAGTCAATGTGTGGGTCTTAAACCTTAAAACAAGGCTGAAGCTTTTGCACCGTTTCCAAAGGCAGCATTACCGCATCACTGCAGAATGCTAAGTCCTGCAGTCCCCCAATTGTTCAGCCAAGCATTAGCATTAGCCGCCAGCAGCTGCTCGTGTCCGTCAGTCATCACAGAGTCCTTCCTGTAACAATCAGATCGGCTGCGTGTCGCTTTAAAGGTCGCATTTGTTTGGTACAAAACAGTAAATGCATCTTTACCGTATCGGCGTGCAACATGTGCAGCGAACATGTCATGTTTTGTGTAGTGCTTATGAATAAACAAGGTCGATGTTGCCTCATTAAAGATGCAGGAAAAAGCAAAAAATCATGCAGCTATCACCTGTCTGGAATAAGCTTAAAATCATCGAGCTGAACACGAGCATTTACTCACATCTTCACACAGGATTTGAACCTTGTTCAGGTCCTCAGTTGAACCCACTGCACCTCCACATTCTGCTCCCACTGTGGCCTGTGCTGCTCTTCATACCGATCTTGGTGAAAAGACCTGCGATGGCCCAAAGTCTCCCATCAGATTTTCAAAAAACTTGTAAATGGAATTAGTCGGGAGAAGGTGAAGAAGTGTCGTTTCCTCTGAGACAGCTTGAATCCCAAAATGGTGAAGTGTTATTAAGGATGTTTTGAGCAGTAATGCCAAGAAAACACTGTTCACCCCAAGTTTAACGCGTTAATCTGAGACCATGGTGGTTTTAGGAGAGCATCACGTTCTTAAATCAGAAAAAAATATACGTAGGATTTGGATTTGAACTGAAAACGCCAAAGAACTTCAAATTAAAAGTCCCCCTGAACAAATAGGTAATAGTTAATTTAGTGTTGCCATCATAAATCAATCAAAAATAAATAAATAAAATAGAAAAAATACAATCTAATTTAGCAGTTTATATATTAGTCCAAATAATACCTGCACTGCACAAGTGTGATTTTCAAACTAAGGACTGCTCAGTTAATCTCTTTGAGATTTGTGATACTTTTTGAAGATTCTTTCCAATTATTTTTTCATTGCTTTGGGGAAACAGAAACCTCAGAGCATCAAACCAAAACCATCTCCACAGCTAAACACCTGCAGCGTTAGTGTAACCCACCCTCTGAAGACGACACCTCATCTGTGTCACGGTCGTCACCGAATGACCCCGAACGAACCGTACAGGAGGCAGCGGGTCGAACAGATAAACTCGCTTTCAGCAAGCTGCAGCTCAGGAGGTCCTCTCCAGATGTCCTGATTTAACTCCTGTTTGCTTCTCCCAAATGGAAAGTCGCTATTCTAATTTAATTGACTGCGGTGGAACAAGATTCATTATATCTTCAAATTAGCACCTGTTCAGTCTTTTTTTTTTTTTTTTTTAAAGGAGCTTCAGATGTTCAGAAAACACAAAGACACACTTTGTAGCGCGACCATTTCCCTGCGACGCTTGTCCTCGTGTTGCCTTTGGTTTTTATACGCTGATTAACTTTGTCAGTCGCAAGTAGACTAAGAAACACACACATAATATCGTTTTATTTTTTAAATGGTCCGCCGTCACATTCCTGATGACCTACTTACCGCGTCCTCTCCTGCTGCCAAATACGTGGCACAATGACAGCATATGAAGTAGCTTCCACACCGGCTCCTGTTTCGAAATCATGAAAGGAGCCGTCACAAGACAGGCCCCGGCCGCTTTACAAATCGCGGCGGTGATGAAACCTGATAGGCTGACTGAAGAGGAAGCTGGCGGTAGTGACAAATAACTATGATGAATTCATTCCCCTTTCACTCAGAGCGGAGCGCGACAGGGATTTGACTGGTGCAGCCAATGTCGGATTACATGTGAAGCGTGCAGGCTGCATTATTTATCAAAACATCATTTAAACAGCATGTGAGGCTGATTTTCTCATCTTTTCCCATTGAGTTGTGCCAGCTCTGTATGCTGGCTGTGTCTGAGCTGATGCATGTGGTTTAATGTGTGTGTGTGTGTGTGAGTGAATGAGCAATGATGGATCACACATGTTGGCTTCAAAAATGCATTACAAGGCACAGTCATGCCCATATATTTACACACAAAGCCGTGCTCGCCCAAGTGCCAGAAAAGCATATACACTCTGAGCCTCGTCAACACCAATTCCCACGAGCACCAGCGATTTGCAACAAACTCACTTCTGTCTCTGCTATTAGGGGGGTTTGATTTCTTTCTTTCTGTTTTTTTTAAATAACAAACGGCACAAACAACGTCCACAGTTGTACAACAAGAGAGCAGATCGCTGTTTCTGTATCCGATCTCTTGGCTCTTGCTATTTCCGACTGAGACGAAACAAAAACAGCTCGAGCTTCTGCCAGTGCTGCAGCATGAATAAATCCACACACACACACACAAAAATTCTCACGCCGTTTATCTCATTCAGTGTGGTCCGTAGCTGCGAACACCATCTTGCAATTGTTCATCAACGCCGAGTGGACAAAAAAAAAAAACCCTCCCTCTCTCTTATGTCCGACTGAGGCCTGTTACTCCTGCTTGTCCAAAATAAAAACCACATATCGGTGTTTTCTAGTCTGCTGCGGCTTATTGTGGAGTCTCTAGTTTGTCATTTAACTTCTGCCTGAAACCTGGGAGAGGTAATAACCTTAAAGCACTCGCGGTAAATTGTTTTCCCTTTGCGGCGTGTGTGTGTTGGTTTGAGCCATCTGATTTGTTGAGTGCACAAACTCTATTCCCAGGGTACTGTACTTTAGCGGCTTAGAGCAGCATCGGGTTGGAAAATCCTCGTTAATTTTTATTTTATTTTTTTTGCAAATCTTTAGTCAGCGTGTGTTTTCCAAATCTTAACACCTTATCCCTTTTCTTTTTTTAAATCTGTGAATTACTGTCCAATTTAGTCAACTTTTTTAATCACCAGAGTTGCTTAGAAAAGCAGCTTAGATGGGTAAACATTCTTGCATTTGTGTAATTTATCTTTAAACTGCAAGGTGGAGATGCAACTCTGCATCATTATGGTCCAATAAGGCTTTAAAATAAAACGTCAGCATCGACTTTAATTGAACACTGACTTCCAGATAACAGCTGTTTACAAGTTTGTTTGGAAAAAGTCACATGTAAATAGTTAAACGGCAGGTTTTACACATAAGGTGAAGTCGTAGATTAGCATTTATATCTGCGGCCATAACAGCTGTAGGTTTAGCAATAGAAAAGACTTGATGTTCTCTGCAGTTAGGTGGGAAATTATGTGCATAAATGGGTTTTGGCATCAGCAGCCGGCCAATATATACATAACACCAGCATATGAGATGATGGCAAAGCTCCAATACCATGCATTCCTGCTGCAAAGTAATAATCTGACTCACATACTTTGATTTAAGCCGATTATTCCATCGGTAGAAGCGTAGCTCCGTGTTTTCCTCTGTGCGGTGATGGAGGATGACAAACTGAAAAAGCCAAATTATGACCAGTAACTTTTCAGCGATGACTTCATTTGAATTTCTAGGCCTTTGAATTCTGTGCGTCAGGAGGCAGCAGCTTGAGTTATGTGGTGCAGGAATATGTAACAAGGCAGCAAACACAGTCATACAGCCTCGGGGCGAAGTACTGGGAAAGAGTTTTGTTCCGAAAATACAATAGGCGGTTTAGCTAGTGATCTGAACATAATAATGTAAGCAGGACATGGCAGAGATATGTTCTCATCTGTCTCTCTTTCTCTATTTCTCTCTCACCATTTTCTGTCTCTTCATCTTTGTTTTCTCTGAGGTTTGACCTGGATCTCCCTCTTTTCCTTTTTTTTGTTCCTGTTCACTTCTCTCTTGTGTTGCGATTCAACTTTTGCAGCGTGGGCTGCTTCGGATCCAGCGGTGTTGTGTTAGCCGTGTTCTCGGTGCACGCATGCACAGGCCATTCAGACGACAACATGAGCGGCGAAATCAGCTCCGTCATCCGTCACTGGAGAGCAAACACACGCAAACGTGACTCTCGAACATTTGTTAGCGTGTTATTAGACCACAAGCTGTATAAAGAGGCAGCTGGTTGGAAAGCAACTAATTTGACAGCTCCTGTGAGCTTTGCGATGAATCTGCCGGAGCGTGAACTTGCTGCACTTAAAGTGTTAAAACTGCTTTGGAGAGGTGGAAAACAGGCGGCCGTGCATTGTTCTGGGGCATTTGAATTAAAACACGGCCGAACTAAAGAGGAAAAAAAACAACTTTAAGCTTGAACAGTGTGCTTCAGAGCATGTGCACCTTTTTGTTTTGCAGTCTTTCAGATTTCAATCAAAATAGTTTTTAATTTTCTTTTTTTTTTTTTCCCCTGAAGTTCTACTGTTACAGAATTAAAGACAAACTTTTTAAAGTCCAGACGATTTGTCCTCATCAGAGACTGAGTTGCTCTTCATTCACTGAAAAACAGAGTTGGGAAGAAAAAAAAAAACGGGAGCTTTGTCAACAGCTTGAGCCAAGTAATTTCATGAACACACCAGACGAAGCAGATGCCCGGCCCATGTGTTTCTAGATTTTCGAAAGCATATTTTTGCCTCTTTTTTCGCTCACTTCATCTTCCTCCTCTCTGCTCGCAGGCCTTCGATGCGTTCATCTACATCTTCTTTGCGTTGGAGATGGTGGTAAAGATGGTGGCTCTCGGCATCTTCGGCCGCCGCTGTTACCTGGGAGACACCTGGAACAGACTGGACTTCTTCATTGTCATGGCTGGGTAAGAAACTAATCTCACACCGTCAGCGTTTAATTGAGCTTCTGGCTCTTAGAATCGAGACACATTATGGTGAGTCAGCGAACTCAAGGCCTTTGCTGGATCCCGTCTTTATTATTATGTCATTACTGTACAATGATATATATTATCCTACTTCACTACAGGGATGAATGACTTCACCTCGACTTAACAGCTCTGGATCCTGTATTTAGATCAGATCTGGTACGGATTAAGAGACGTGTCAGATCCTGGATGAAATAAAGAGCTAAACAAAACAGAATTACTGATTTACAGTTAATAGCAGCCATGAGAAAAACCACCACGTCGGCCGTTTCAGCAGAAAAAAGCAACAAGACGACATGAGTTCATGTGACTGAGCAGCTGCTGAAGTTGTGACTGTGTTTACACCGATCCCACAATGCTTTTATCTTTGAAACCGGGTCTCATAATGCCAACAAATTATCCTGTCCTGCTGATCGCGGGGTCACATCAGAAAACGCTTGTGTGTGTGTGTGTGTGTGTGTGTGTGTGTGTGTGTGTGTGTGTCGCTCCGGACGGCGATGACAAACAACCTATTCTGCTCGTTTTATTCTGAAGGACTCGTTGGCTCCAGGACCTGTCGTTTCCCAGCGTTCATAACGGCAATCTGTCACCATTACGCCAGTCTGCTGCAGTTTACTTAAAGCTATTTGATCAATTGTTTCTTAATCTCCTCATTAAAAGCAGAAAGAAGATGAATTCTGGCCATCAGATGCTGTTAGGTGCAGCATAATTTTATTACATTTTCATATTTTCTTCTTGCATGTCTGTGGATGAAGCAGTTTACCAAAGCCGTCCAATGAATGAGCGACCTGTGTGTGAGACATGTGACTTCATCTGTACGACTGCTGGTTTTCAGAAGTAGAAAGCAAAGGACGCTAATGCACAGACGCTGCAGTGACAGCGTCCTCTTGTCTTCATCCGCTAGTTTGCATAAAGCTGCATAAACCAGACACGGTAACTTTGTCGCACATGCAAGATTGTTCAGATCATCAAGTGACATAATGTGTAATAATGCACAAAAAGAAATCAAAAGACTAAACACATATTTGCTATGAAACAAATAATTTAACTGTAGTTTATAAAGTGAGACAGTTCATCTGTCTGAAGTGAAGAAAAGTCTGCATCCTGACATCCGGACCAATCCCATCTCTGTGTTGGATAATTATAATAATGACGCTACTGCTGCTCTTCCACATGTAAATGCACTGAAGTCTTGCTTCGGAGACGCTCATATGGATCCTACTGCTGTCTGTTATAAACCCAGGAAATGGTCCGACCAACAGCCGCAAGTACATTCATGTTCCTGTTGTGTTGCAAGTGACACGGCAGCCTAACTGCCCTCGTACGACTCCAACAGGTTTTCATTCACACATGAAGCCGACACATGAGATGCCATCAGATTAGTGGAAAACAAAGAATCATTTAGTTATATACAACTTGGCATTCTGCTAAATAGGAACCAGACTTAATATTATTGTGTTTAGCGATCTGTGTGAATTTAGTGCACAGCTGCTGTCAAAATGGGCTTCAAGGTGGATTGGTGGTTAACACCGTCGCCTCACAGCTGGAAGGTTCCCCGGTTCGCGTCTCGGTGATCTTTCTGCGTGGAGCATGTTCTCCCCGTGCATGCTCTCCGGGTTCTCCAGCTTCTCCAGCTTCCTCCCTCACAGTCCAAAAACATGCTGAGGTTAATTCCCCCTAAGTCAGCTGGGATAGGCTCCAGCCCCCCACGGCCCTAGTGAGGATTAAGCGGTGTATA